TACATGCATGTATACATACATACATGCACACATTTGAAAATCATTCATAACATCAAAAAGCTGGTGGGGGTGATACAGCATTACTGCTGATCTTTATTTGATGAGATTAGGCATGCACAGCCCCAGCCACTGAGCATGCGCACCACTGGACTGGGGGTCCATGCTAGGACTGAAATCTGGATGCAAGACTGGTACATTTATTTCTGTAGTAGGGAACTTCAGGCCCAGGGGCCTTAGCTACATCCTGGCTGGACTACTGCAACACACTCTACATTGGGCTGCCTGAACACTTTTAAATGTTCAGACGCTTCAGCTGGTCCAGACTGCTGCAGTCAGACTGCTGACTGGGGCCACTTACAGGGAGCATATTTCTCCCTTTTTTTAAACAACTTACCGTAACTGGCTACTGGTCTGTTTCTGGGCACAATTCAAAGTGCTGGTTATGACCTATGAAGGCCCATATGGCTTGGGCCCAGGCTGCCTGAAAGGTTGTATCTCCCTGCCTGGGTGCTAAGATCCTCAGGTGAGCACCTTCTCTTGGATCCATAGGCATCAAAAGCACAGTTGGTGGTGAAATGAGAGAGAGCCTTTTCTGTGGCTGCTCCCATTTAGTGGAATTCCCACCCAAGAGAGGCTGGATTGGCTCCGTCTTTGCTGTCCTTCTGCCAGCAGGCTAGCAACTTCCTATTCAGACAGGACATTGATAATTCAGGAGCAGATAATGCCGCTCACTGGGCTGCCGTTAGGGCAAACTGCATTTTAACGTGTTTTGGTGTGCTTTAATTATTGCTTTTCAGTAGTGTGTTTTTATTAACTTTGTATTTTACAAAGCTGTTCTTAAATGTTGTGAGCTGCCTTGGATTCCCATGTGGGAGAAAGGTGGGATATAAATATATTAGATGAATAAATATATAAAATAAATATCTGTCCGGTCCTCAGAACTCTTTGCAGGCCACACTCCTCACAGACCCACTTTGCACCCTGGTCTTTTTGTCCAGATGGAATGTGTCCTTGAACTCTGATCATGCCTAGTTTGGATGGCGGACAGAGAGGATTGTGTAGAAGCTAGTACACTGTACAAAGGTAGTGTTTCCATGCCCCCATCCACGCTTGCCTCTGGCCCCACCCACCTCTGTCAAGTGCCTCTCAGGTGGCTGTCCATAAGAGAAGGTGGCTCAGGGGTCTGAACCCTGCTTAACCTCTTGTGCTAGTAACTTAGGTCCTCAGCATAATAAGAGAAGGCTAATATTTTCCTGTTTTAGGGGCCATGAAGAACCACTGGACAAAAGCTTGAATAACAGGTTTAAACAAAATCTACTGGATGTCAGAGTCTACAATAGAGATGCTGGGGTTTCATATATTAACACCCTGCTCCCAATCTCCAAAAAGGTTTGAAATATGACCTTTCAGTATCAAGCTGCATCTACAGAAGAACATTCAGTTCTCTAGCCATTTGGATGCATCCACACTCCCAAAGGCTGCATAAATCATCCTTCTCTTAGAATCCAGCAGGAAAGAACAATCGAGCAAGTTTAACTTCTGCAATTCCCAGTTTGCTGTGATGAGCCAGCAAGATAAGATTCGCTTGCATTTCATGTTTTGATCAGAAACTTCCATAGAGCAGAGGTAGGGAACCTGTGGCCTTCCAGTTGTTGTTGGACTCCAGGTGTTGTCTCATCAAACCCAGCCAGGATGGCCAAGGGCCAGGGATGGTGGGAATTAGGCTCCAACGACATATGGAGAGACATAGGTTTCTCAACCTTGAAAGCCAATATGACCACCCTCCCCTGTGTGGGCACAGATACTGCATGCAATGGGAAAAAACATGAAAAAGTAAAACCAGACAAATAATTACAAAATGATAAGACCTACAGAACTATGAAAAAACAAACAGCTTAAAGTAAACACAAGAATAGATTAAACGTTTTCCAATATTTACATGGACATGAATTATTGTCGACCAGTGTAATAGCCTCTACCAATAACATTATATAAACAAAGGCAACAGACAACCACCAAAAAGACCAGACTCAGCCTTGTGCCTTGCTTACTCTAACACACCTTTCTTTCTTTCTTTCTTTCTTTCTTTCTTTCTTCCTTCCTTCCTTCCTTCCTTCCTTCCTTCCTTCCTTCCTTCCTTCCTCTTTTTGCCCCAAACAGCTGCAGGGTCTGCAATCTGCTTCAGTGGGAAACTGGCATCAGGTGACAAGGGAGCAGTTTCTTGCCTCTGACATTTTCTCTCACTAAACACCACCACACTCCCCGCCTTTTCCCTCATGCAGAAAAAAGATAACAGGTCCTTGCATCACTTTCCTCATGGGGAAAGATTCAGGTACATAGCCACGTTGGTCTGACGCAGTCAATATATATATAAAATTGTCCAGTAGCACCTTAGAGACCAACTAAATTTGTTCTTGGTATAAGCTTTCATGTGCATGCACACTTCTTCAGATACACTGAAACAGAAGTCATCAGACCCTTATATATAGTGGGAGGGTGGGGTGGGGTTTTTCTAAGGAGGGTAGTAGGAGATGGGTGATTGACTCAATGGGGAAAAAGAGCAGCTTGGGGTAGTGACAGTTGATTTTAAAGGGAAGTCTGTTAAGAAACCTCTCTACTTCATCAGCTGTCCACACCTTTTGCAGCTGATGTAGGTTAAAAAAACAAATCAAAATAAATCACCAGTAACTTAAACAACTACAGTACTGGTGTTTGGCCTGAAGTCCATCCAGCAACCCAGGTTGGTCGATGTGTATGGTATTGTTTAAGATGGAGCAAAATTAGATATAAAAAGAACAACTCTGAAGACACTGTTCCAACAGTCATGGAACAAGAGGCAAGTCCTCTTGTGGGTCAGGAATTGGTTAAGCAGCAGGAGAAACAAAGTAGGAATAAATGGACAGTTCTCTGAATGGAGAGATGCAGAAAGTGGAATCAACCAAGAATCAGTATTGGGACCTGTGCTTTTTAACTTATTCATAAACGGGTTAGGGGTGAGCAGTGAGGCGGCCAAATTTGCTGATGATACTAAATTGCTCAGGGTTGTTAAAACAAAAAAGAGATTGTGGAGAGCTCCAAAAGGACCTCTTCCAACTGAGTGAATGGGCGGTAAAATGACAAATTCAATTCAATGTAAAAAAGTGACCAGGAACAAGATCCAACAAGAGCCAACAGTGTGACGCGGCAGCTAAAAAAGCCAATGCAATTCTGGGCTGCATCAATAGGAGTATAGCATCTAGATCAAGGGAAGTAATAGTGCCACTGTATTCTGCTCTGGTCAGACCTCACCTGGAGTACTGTGTCCAGTTCTGGGCACCGCAGTTCAAGAAGGACACTGACAAACTGGAACGTGTCCAGAGGAGGGCAACCAAAATGGTCAAAGGCCTGGAAACGATGCCTTATGAGGAACGGCTAAGGGAGCTGGGCATGTTTAGCCTGGAGAAGAGGAGGTTAAGGGGTGATATGATAGCCATGTTCAAATATATAAAAGGATGTCACATAGAGGAGGGAGAAAGGTTGTTTTCTGCTGCTCCAGAGAAGCGGACACGGAGCAATGGATCCAAACTACAAGAAAGAAGATTCCACCTAAACATTAGGAAGAACTTCCTGACAGTAAGAGCTGTTCGACAGTGGAATTTGCTGCCAAGGAGTGTGGTGGAGTCTCCTTCTTTGGAGGTCTTTAAGCAGAGGCTTGACAACCATATGTCAGGAGTGCTCTGATGGTGTTTCCTGCTTGGCAGGGGGTTGGACTCGATGGCCCTTGTAGTCTCTTCCAACTCTATGATTCTATGATTCTTGGGGTTGTAGTAGAGAGCTTGATGAAGAAGCTAACATGGCTGATGAGAAAAAGGCAAATTCCATGCTACGAATCAGTAGGAAGGGAACTGAAAAATAAAACTGTTGCTATCATAATGCCGCTATACAAACCTATAGTGTAACTACAGTTGGAATACTGTGTAGTGTGTGCATTTCTTTCCCCCTCACCTTGAAAAGGATATTGTAGAGTTAGAAAAGGTTCAGAAAAGGGCAACCCAAATGATCAAGAGGATGGAGTAACTTCCCCTGTGAGGAAAGGTTGCAGCATTTGGGGCTTTTTAGAAAAGATAAGAGAAAAGGTTAAGAGAAAAAGTAAGAGGTGACTTCATAGAGCTTTACAAAATTATGCATGGCATGGCGAAGGGGGTAGTATAACTCTCTCTAGTATAACACTAGAACTCGTGGCCGTCCAATGAAGCTGAACGCTGGAAGATTCGAGTGTTGTGAAATCCTTAAGGTTATATTTACCAATGGGCATTTTGCAATCTAAGGCAGAAGCGTTCTGCTTAAATCATTGTGGCCATTTCCCTTCACAGTACGGTTACCAAATCTTGCTTAAAACAGCAGGCTGTTCTTAAATAGCATTTTACTACGCCCCCAACACCTCCATGTTCCTTCCCCAAACTAGGGGCGCCAAAAGGTGAAGTATGGCTCAAGTGCTAAGGAAATATGCAGCATCCTGCTCCCATCCCAGATATGTAGCCCAGCACACAGGCAGACGGGGGGGGGGGGGGGGATGAAGAACTCCAATAGTATTCAGGGACGCTTTCTTCATTTCACTTCTTTCATGCATTCCTCTCAGAGTCAAGCTCTTTCGCTCTCCCGCCACATGTGCACTTTTGGTGGTGAAACTTCACATGGAAATACAGTGGTACCTCTGGTTAAGAACTTATTTCGTTCTGGTGGTCCGTTCTTAACATGAAACTGTTCTTAACCTGAAGCACCACTTTAGCTAACAGGCCTCCCGCGGCCGCCGCCGCGCGATTTCTGTTCTCATCCTGAAGCAAAGTTCTTAACCCGAGGTACTATTTCTGGGTCAGCGGAGTCTGTAACCTGAAGCATCTGTAACCTGAAGCGTCTGTAACCTGAGGTACCACTGTACACTTTAGACATGCTCAGAGGCACTAGCTCATTTGGCCCTCCTGAGACTAAGGCTGTCTCTCAATGAGGGAATAGTAGCTTACCTTGGGTTGTTTCCTATATTCCTTCCCGGGCTCTGCGTCCCATGACAGAAGGGAGAAAAGTGAAGAGGAGGTGACCATGGCCGCAAGCAGAGACTCTGTGGCAGAGGCGGGGAGAAGGCGTCCCTCCAAGCCAGACGTTTCCTAGCTTATGCCTCGCCCACCCACTGCCACCCGCACACCTTCGAGGACCAGCGAGGAGTCCGACGGAGCAGGTGCCTCGCGCTGCCCTACCTGGACGCACCTGGATGCAAAGCAGGCACCCGACGCGACCACTGAGCAAGGGGAGGGGCAGAAGCTGCCTAGGCAGAGACCCCTCCCCTCTAACGAACAATGTAGGGCTTCCTCCCACCCCCCACTGTCCCGTGGCCAACTAGTTCCGCCCAAGAGGGTGGCAAAAGCCAAGCGCCCCCTCAGAGAAGCGACCAAACGGTGCCTGTGCGCCAGGCATGGTCGCTCCTCCTCGACCCTCCTGAGGACTAGCTACGTGCGCTTGCAGCATTCAGCCCCCTCTTTCGTCACAGGGCGAATGCAGAGCAGAGGCGCCGCCCTCTTCCTTGAATCTTCCCCTCGTTAATCCTTCCGCCGCTCTGCAAACTGGAAGTGTAGAAATAGGAAAGGCGCCTGTTTTTCGAGCCTGTAGGGGACTCTGTATTTTTTAGCAAAGAAGACGCTCTTTTCCTGTCCGGGAGCCGCGTCGACTGCGCGGCCGCTTTCCGGGCCCATCCTCCCTGAGAGCTTATAGTTGGCGTCGCAGGAAAAGAAAGCCCCCCTCCCCACCCTGGTGGGTTTGCACAAGGCAGGAAGGCTTAACACTGCCACAAAAGAACTGCCCCAACTTTTAAGGAAGGCGACGGACCGGGTGGGCGGCCCGCGCTTTCTCTGTATGTCCACACTGCAGCGAGGATCCTCGCAATGGATCCTCTGCGCAGCCCTGACAGGAAATCGTGCGCTTCTCCAGGCAGTCAGGGAACAACAAATTCCAAAGGGCGAAATTCAGGTGCTATTGGGGCTCCTGCAGAAAGTCGGCCTAAGGCCAGTTGAGGCGTGCTAGAGACCACTGGAATTAACTATTCTCCCAGGATACCTTTAAAACACATTCCAAGCACATTCCTTTCCCCCAAAGAATTCTGGACAGTGTAGTTTAAGGGTTGCTGGGAACTGTAACTCAGAGGTGTGAACTACATCGCTCAGAATTATTTGAGGGGAAAGATAGTGCTTCGAATATACAGTGGTGCCTCGGGTTAAGTACTTAATTCGTTCTGGAGGTCTGTTCTTAACCTGAAACTGTTCTTAACCTGAAGCACCACTTTTAGCTAATGGGGCCTCCTGCTGCTGCTGCGCTGCCGGAGCACGATTTCTGTTCTCATCCTGAAGCAAAGTTCTTAACCTGAGGTACTATTTCTGGGTTAGTGGAGTCTGTAACCTGAAGCGTATGTAACCCGAGGTACCACTGTATTATTAAAAGTCCAGTGAGTATGCATCCAAAGGATTGCATGCTCTATAAAATCTCTAACATGTTCCCAGCATCTTCTTTCTTTTTCTTTGGCGATCACTCGTAGCCGAGAGATTGTCTTCCATAAACAAGGTTTTAACAATGAGTCCGTAGGTGACTGTGGAGGCCAATTCTGGACCTGATTATTATCTTCCAAAGCAACTACAGTACTCTAACTCCCAGCATAGGCTTCTACCAACACACCTGCCAATATAAGGATTTGATTAGCTGTGATTCCTGCACTGGGGTGGGTTTTGATGGATTGGTTATTTAATTTTTATACTGCTTAATATATTTTTAAAAATCTGTAAGCATTGCACAGAAAAGTGAAGCAACAACAGACACCTTAAAATAATACAAAAATGCACCGTTACTTATAAAAATGCACCCCATACATTTAAGAGCATGTTTAAAACTCTTTGTGTCCCCCAAAGAATCCTGACAGCTGTAGTCATTTGGGAAATGTAGCTCTTTGAAGGGTAAACTACAGTTGCCAGGATGTGGAGTGCTTTACATTTATGGTATACACAACAGCATCAGCAAAGGCACAATATGGAAATTAAAAGGCCCTAGACCTACTCAACAAGCTCAGCAGGAGGAAATGGGACTTTGACAACAATTCATGCATAACCACCCAATTGGTTGTGATGTCCTTCTTCCTCCACAACTCTTTAAGAAAACATGGAGCAACATTGCTAGATTTAGACCCTAGATCTTATCTGCTGTCTTTTTAAAGTTGCACAATTAAAACAGCAACAATCCAGATTCATAAGAACAAGTAATGAAAAACAGCAGAATTTGTTTTAAGAGAGATGGCTTCTGTTGGGGATGTTCTGGGATATCAAGTTTTAAGGCAATACTCAACCTTATACTTTTTTTGACTTATTAAATATGTCAAAATAAACTAAAATATGTATGATTCATTGTAAGGTAACTGAATGTTTAAAAAAGGATTCGTGTTTGACATCCGTAGAGAGGTTGGTGTATATGCATTTGCATCAAGCATGTTTAGGACCATGTATAAAGGCTCCTACTAATGTGGATGAATTACCGGTTTTTCCTCAAAATCTAAGCATAAATATGTGGAAAGCAAACTACTTGGAAGAGGAGCTAATTTATAGAAGGAGCTGGTTCTCCCTTTGAAATGCCAGCCTTTACTAATAGGTGCTTTTGATAATGCCAGTTGGCTTGGTCTTTACTCATCAGTCATCTTTATTATTATTTAATATGACATTAAGCAGTAAAATGCTCCTCTAAGTGGTATAGAAGAGCCAGTCCAATAATACACACTCTACACATGAAAGGAAAAAAGGGGACAGAGTAGGGAAGACCAGGGCTGGCCTAAGCTATTTTGCTGCATGAGGCGAAGGTAAAGATGGCACCCCCATCCATTTCAAGATGGTGACCCCTACTTTTCCATATATGCCACACTTGAAGGCAGGGAAAGCTGAGTAGCACACACAGATACCTTGCTGCCACTCACCTCTTACTCCAGCATCTGCTGTCTGAGCCAATTGCCTCACTGTCTAATGGTAGGACTGGCCCTGAAGTAACCCACATTCGCGCCAACCAGCTTCCAGATAGAAACTAATTTAGTTCTTTAAAAGCTGGCTCTTGACAGGGGCTCACACGTATTGTCTTCTTCCAGGTCATATGCTGAGTGTCAGACTGATGTGGAAAGTCTGCAATCAGGGTTTCCTTCATTTTAAAGAAGGTACAGGGGTGGGGGGGGGCGGGCCTGGACCAGGGACTAGTGGTGTGGGAATCTGCCCCATATTTTCCCTATACTGTTTTCCAGATTTAAAATTCCCACCCATCTCACAAAGCTGTTTGCCCTTTGAGAGGAAACATTCACTTACCTTATAGGCCAGGGGTTCCCAAAGTGATGCCCTCGATGATATTCGACTCCAACTCCCATGAGCCCTAGCAAGCACAGCCAATGGTTATGGGTGTTGGGAGTTGTAGTGCAGCAATATCTGGAGGACACCACATGGTTACCGCTGGTATAGGTAGAGAAGCTATTTAAAACAGTGATTTTCAAAGAATGAGGCAGAGATTTTGGTGATTTGGTCAGAGCGGAGGGAACACCTTTGGGAGGTTATGGAATCCTTTCTTGGAGGTTTTTGAGATTCCTGCATTGCAGGGGGTTGGACTAGATGACCCCTGGGATTCCTTCCAACTCTTATGATTCTATAATTCTAAGCCTCACCTTCTGCAGTTAACAGTAGTTTAGTTTTTCTGAGTCAGCATTCTAGCAGACCAAGAAAGGGGTGGCTGTAGCATTTTCATAGATCTTGAGCAATTTGATACAGAGTGTTATAAGAATTTTAAGGTCATATATATATATATATATATATATATATATATATATATGTGTGTGTGTGTGTGTGTGTGTGTTCATAACTGTATATATAAACCACAGGTCTGAAACCCCACAGATTAGGTCCTGAACAAATTGACCTCAAATATTTCTCTGCAAGGTCAAAGTGGGAAACCTCCCCATTGTCTCTTTCCTCACAAATCCTGTCTTAAGGGTATATTCAAGATATGAACAGGGTGTGAACCTGTGACTTAGATTCAGGAATTAAGTAGTTATAATAACAAAAGAGTAGCCAAAACCCAGATAATGCAATCAGGTAACTTGCCAGACAAGAGATAAACAACGCACTCAGATTTCTGTTGTTTACCGCCTTTTCTGTGATGTAGGTATGATGTATCTGGGGGGTGGTCTTGGACTCCAGGGCGGGCAATTTAAAATGTCTATATAAGGGCGGGCACACCTATGTTCTGGGTCCTCCTCCTTTCTCCTGCGTGTGGGGGAGCACCCTGTTGCAACAGTTAATAAAGATCAGGCTTACTAGCTGCTTTGCTTCTCAATATTCTCTGGTTGGTCTCTGTTATTTCCTCCTACTGATAGAGAACATAAAAAGAGGGCTCTATATGGGCTCTTGGGTACCTCATAAGAGAAAAAGAGCAGTTTTTTTCTTATAACAAGAGCTTTACTTCTGGAGTGAATTCAAAAGAAGAAAATGAGTTCTAAACTTGCCCTTCATCTCACTACTGAAGTTTATAAAAACACTGAGATTTGCATGCACTGTGGACTATGAAAGAGGAACTTGACACCTCTATATTCACCCTGACAACTCTATATTTGCTTTATATCTAATTGCATTTACTTGTTGATAAGACATTTTGTTGGATGTTTTACAAAAAAGGATATTATTTCTTTGAGGGGCGTGCTTGGGTTAACCCTGTAAGAAAAAAACACCACTGAATTATTTCTCCAGTTTTGACTAAGCAGTACACCTTGCTCTAGGACTATTTCAAAGCAACACAGTTTGCAAATAATATTTTCGATCTCTCATTCCCAAAAAGCAGGTATAAAAACTGATCATTGATATTTTATTAACTGGATGTTGGTCCAATAAAAAGAAATAATTCATAATAGATACTGAGTCTTTCTTTCTCCAGTACCAAAATAGCAACAACTCTAACCTCCAACGTAATTTTTGTCTACAAATAGCAAAGCCCACAAGGGCTTGAATGAATCTGCTCCGCAGTGATGTGTTTGTGCATAGTCACACATAACACACCCACCTTGTAATTCATTGGGCTGAGCTATATGTTTTATTTGCGAGTGCACCTGCTCTCACACTTTGGGGTACCAGGCAAATGTAAACGTCCTCAGTACGGTAGTCTGAAGTCTGTGAGTGCGTGTTTTCCCCCCAGAGTGTTCCCCAGTGTGTGTTTGTTTTTTGCCAACTGTCACATCAACAGGGAGGAGCTCAGAGGGAGGTGATGGCCACAGCATGTTGTTTGCATGCAGCAACTGATTTTCAGTCGCTGCCTTTTCAGAGCTCAGCCATTCCATTCCATTCCTCCTCCCCCTGGTTTTCTGTTTTCACTAAAGAAGCATTTTATGGTCATGGAGCATTCTCCACATTGGGCTGTTTTGAGGTCCCTGCCTCTTGGTTATTTCTCTCCAAAGGGAAATAAGCTGTTGCCTCTCTCATAGTAAATAGAAGGAACCCTGCCATCTCTGTCCATGGAGGTTCTAAACAAAAAAAATGTTTTCCTTCCAGTAGCACCTTAAAGACCAACTAAGTTAGTTCTTGGTATGAGCTTTCGTGTGCATGCACACTTCTTCAGATACCTGAAGAATATCTGAATATTCTTCAGATACCTGAATATTCTGAATATTCTGAATATTCTGAATATTCTGAATATTCTGACTATTCTGAATATTCTGAATATTCTGAATATTCTGAATATTCCTCAGATACCTGAAGAATATTCTTCAGGTATCTGAAGAAGTGTGCATGCACACGAAAGCTCATACCAAGAACTAACTTAGTTGGTCTTTAAGGTGCTACTGGAAGGGAAAAAATTTTTTTGTTTTGACTATGGCAGACCAACACGGCTACCTATCTGTAACATGGAGGTTCTGTTTCATAACCAAGGTTAAAGGTTATTCTCCACGAGCTTGTCTAGCCCTGTAAAACTATCAAAGCTGGCAAATCAATTTAAAATGTTAATGATGCATTCTGTAGGGAAGTACTTTTTGTTTGTC